GATAGAGGGGTGTAGTCTTGGCTAGACCGATTGTTTTAATTCCGTATTTATTTTGATTAGCCAGCGCGATTAAATTTAGAAAGGACTATTCACCCCCTCTAGTCCGCCATCTAGACCCTACAATGGGTTTACGGGAAAGCATATGGTTTCTTGATACTAAGGGCCTAGAATAAGTTAAAGATCTGTTTCAAAATAGAAATGTGTATTGTAGCATGTTAATCTGATAGTGCTGACTATTATGATGAGGCATGCTATATACACTAATCTATAATGAAATGGGTGCCAAGTTAAGTATTCTAAGTTTAAGACTAAGCTTAAAGTATAAGATGAGATCAAGGTGGAGAATGTTAGGATTGATCCCATCCGACTTGATCCAACGATCGAGTCGGAACCCTTGACCGCGTCCTGATCGGGGGCGCTCAACCGACTCCTGGTCGGCGGGCCCCTGTCACGCAGCGCTATAAAAGAGAAAGGTGGGGGAACGAGGTTGGTTGACGCCACTAACCTACTGACAAACCCTAGAAGGCCCCATCCGATCGCGGGCGCGCTACAGTGATGGAAGTACCGCCGACCACGCTGCCGTCCTCTGGATTCCACCGCTCCACATTGCGTCGCCACTGCCATGGCGACTTCTTCCTCCTCTACCTCCTCTACCAAGCCGAAGGTATGGGCCTCTCTCTCTCTAGGTTTCACATCGATGAACTATATGATGTTTATGCTAAATTAGTGAAGTCAACCCGCTAGATCTACTCCTAGTTGATCCTAAATTTACTACATCGTACACTAGGGCCTGTTGTCTTTTGAGACCCTTCGGCGTGTGGAGAGGCCATATACGGTGAATAAGGAAACGAGGTCCACGTCGTTTTGGCAGAAACTTAGATAATGAAGAAGGTGAGGGCGGTCCAAGAGAAAACTACATAGAGACACATTTTGTGTGTGAGAAAGATCGTCTGCTATCCAATGAATTTTTTCATTTGTCTGTGTGCTGAGTTGCCAAAGATGTCTAGGGCGCCTTGGCTTGACGAGGACGGTCACTTATTTTCCATGTTATATAAACGGAGCTCAGTTTGGCCGGTAAAGCAGTTGTGGTGTTTTAGGGCAGTCCCAATGGTGTATTGATGATGGTTTCTATCCTCATTAAATGACTTGCCACGTAGGCAAAACGCTGACATGGCAACGTAATTAATGAAGAAATAGAGCAAAAATCATAGAAATTGTTTCATCATGAAGAAATCATGTCTTCTCTTGACCCAATGCACCAAGAAACCATGAAATCGTCATTGGGGAGAAACCACCAGTTTCTAGGGGGCTCGTGCCGCACTTTCATTGGAGGAAGAAGATAGAGTTGGGAGAGAGAAAGAGAAAATAATTATTACTCATAGAAACCATGGGTTGGAAAGCCGTACTCCCTCCGGTTCTATAAAGCAAGTCGTTTTGGACATCGATACGGTCTTTAAGAAACGACCTTGACTGTAACTTTTTGCTATAAAATATTTATAAAATATAGTCAATATATACTTTTATGAAACTACATTTCGAGATGAATCTACTTACATTATTTTCATATTTTTAAACTCAACCCAAAAGAAGTTATTTATAGTCAAAGTTTAAAATATTTGACTTAAGACAACCTTAAAACGACTTGCTTTAGAGAACCGGAGGAAATACTTTTTTTTTACGATATCCTATGTTATAGAAACTACTAGTTTCTTTCATTCGTTGTGACTGTCCTTGTGGTCTGATGAGGCTGCGTAAATTGGTGCTCTAGCTCACGGTCGTCTTCCGCAATCGCGTAAACCGAATGCAAGTGCTCTGAATTAATGGAATCTGCTTTTGGCGTCAAACGCCCAATCCGCTGTCAGTCGCCGTAGCGGTCGTCGCCTTTTTCCTTCTTCCAGGGACAGCGGCAGAATAATTATCCGTCTTCCGAGCGCGGTAATCTTATTCGGACAAGTAACCGCACACGACTGGCCGGCTGCTGTAGCGCTGTTGCTGCGAAGAAACTCTAGATTTTCAGACCCGTCCGTGCCGAGTCCCGACCGTCTCTTTCCAAGGAAGCTGAAACCAAAAGGCAAACGCCAATTCCAGAAATGCACGCGAATTGCAGAAAGGGGTCGTCGTCTCCGCAGACGAGCGACGAAAAGAGTCTTTTGGAGCGCCCGCACCCAGGATGCTGAAATGATGCTGCATGCATGCCAGTGCGTTGTGACCCTAATAGGAGTAGTACGCATGTCGCCTTTTCTAGAGACTCAGCTTCGTGTTCCACTTTGGTTTTTCTAGTCCGTATTCGGCGTTCCTTTTGGGGTTTCAACGGTTTCGCACCGGAAAGTTCAGACAGACGTGACATGAGCGGACGGATGCATGCTCGTGCCCGTGCGCGCGCGCTAACATCATCGCTGAGGTGGACGCAGCGTGAGCCGCGGGTTAGTTAGTTCTAATCCGCCTAGCTAGCCGGCCGGTTAGTCAAAACAAGCAACCTGAACCTGAGCTTAGCTGGGTGATGTGAACTTAAGACGATTCCGTGGCATTCCTCCGGTGTTGACTTCCCGAGTTGCATGCGTTTCTGGCCCGTGCCCGGTTGCGTTGCTCGCTCGCCACCATCCTTCGTCAGCGATCGAGCTCCGGATGAAGGTCATACGCCCGGAGCCGGGTAGCACGCGGGGCTCCAGTGCTCCACTCCATGTCTACCACACAGACCAGAGGCCCTTCTAGAACACCGTTTGTACTGTGACTGGTACGGGCCCGGCCACAATCACGGCGTACGTGCCCGTGCTGCGGCCCTTTCCGCCGGCCGTGGGCGCGCGCGCGAGTGCGAGTGCGAGACGAAAAGTCCCGGCCCGGCGGCGCGACGAAACGACCGGACTCTCTCTGCCGGCCGCAACTAATGCACGTCGACGTTCACCTGTGGCTCAAGGTCGGAGGATCACGTGACGTGGCGCTGACGCCACGGGGCAGTTACAAATGGCAAAACCCGCCAAGCCCCGAGCCACCGTCGGTTTCCGTCTCACGTCACAGGCTCTCACAGGTGGGCTTTTCGGCCACAAAGTGCCAGGCGCGCGGGGCAAAGCACGAGGCGGAAACCGACGGCTGCGGGGCCGAGAGTTCCGTGTCTGCCCTTCCGTTTACTACCAAAGTGATTTGTTCTACTTGGTTGTTTCACTGCGCGACACCGGTCCAGCGGGATGGATTCGATCGAGGGCATTATAGTCAACCGCGCGTGACATGTTCCAGAAGGGTTTAACCCAAGGATTATGCGGAGGCTAAGACGCGTCTGGTCAACTGGGTTGGTCTTTCCTCAGAGCTGGGCCCCGCAGTAACATAAGGAGCATACTCCTACTGCTCCGTGTATCATTGTTCGCGGCAACCAGAGAACAAGTTTAATACTAATAACTGATATAATTTTCTTAACATCGGATGTATACATACAAATTACTACTTGTGTTAAAGTATCTACTATATCTTTTGTCCTTAGTCCTTGCCGTATCTTTCATCAGACAGCTCTTTATATAACCTCGTCTCACGTTACCCCTACTGGTGATAACTACGTAACACCATTTTCTTTTATAGGAAAGAAAAGAAGGAGAAGCACCAAACGGGTTGATCATTTGGGTAGCAGCGAAAGGTCAACCTTTGACAAAAACAGTTAAAAACATGCCTTTTACTTCCTCCATTCTAATTTATAGGTTTTTTTTAGCTTTTTTAGATATATATCTTTTTTTATTGAGAATGCTAAACAACACCCATGTGTTCTATGATACTTGGTTAGTGATGTTCTATGATGTTTTTCGTGATGTTTGCATGGTGCACAAGTGATGTTCTACGAATTCGGGTGCTAGTTGGCCAAAACACACACGAATAATACCCGACTACCGAATACACGCTCTGATGTTCTATTATGTATTATGTGATGTTCTATTATGTATTATGTGATGTTCTACAAAATTCGTGTGCTAGTTGTCCAAAAAACACCCAAGTGTGATATAGACATTCTCGTTATTATATATATCTAGACATATCCTATAGCAAAAAATATGTACCATTAAAAGCTAAAATGACCTATAATTTAGGACAGACGGTGGTATATTTTACAAGTATAAGCGGTGATTAGAAAAGTAAACACTATTCTTTTAGTGGTAGGTGACTATTCGTCGATAATAAGATGTCTATACCGACCTCACTAATCTCAAAATCTAATACTCTGATCTCTTGAGATAGGCTATATGTATAATAAGTTTATAGGCCTTGTTCGCTTCTTTTATAATCCGTTTTTTCCAGCTTGTTTTTTCAGTCGGAACAGTGTTTTTCTCTCACAGCAAATCAGCCGGAAAAATGTTTCGGCTTGTTTTTTCAGCGAAGCGAACGGGACCATAAAGGTAGATATCTGTGCATATATGTGACTATTTGAGTATATATGCGTTTAAACACAATTAGGTATCAAAAGAAACTTGTTTTGTGTGTTTTTTTTTTGAATTGTGGCTTGTATGGTTCGATGAAGATAAGTATAAGGTTGACATCAAAATGAATGAATATGCAGAATGTTCCCAAACAATAAAGAATATAATAACTGGAGCAGTAGTAGTTAGTGATATCCAACATAACAGTAGAAATTACGACAATCTTAAAAAAAATACCTTGCATATCAATGGAAGGATAAGAAATTGCGAGCTACATGTTCAACCAGAGAAGCCATGACAAGCAAGCAAAACAAAACTAAGAACAAATCACTCTGGTGACCAGCTTTCAACACCACCACATCACTGCTGATGAACACACATGCATCTTGCATGCAAAGACGTTCAAATCCAAATGTACTCTTCAAACCTTCCGAACACTCCAGACACCCTGCAGACCTTCTTAAACCCCCCAATATCCCCCCATCATCCCTTCAACCTTCAAACCTCCCCTCTCCACACGCCACCACCACCAACTTCTTCCCTGCTAGGCTGTCTGTCCACTTCCGCAGGTGCACGCAAAAGCCACAGCGCGCGCGGCGGCACGCCATGGGCACCCTCGTCGGGCACGTCGCGCCGGGCGCGGGCTTCCTCCTCATCGGCCTGTGGCAGCTGTTCAGCCACATCCGCCTGTTCTTGCTGCGGCCGAGCTCGTACTCTGCTCCGGTCTGGTTCCCGGCGCCGGGCGTGCGCCACCTTGAGCTCATACTCATAATCATCGGCTCGGTGATGTCCATCCTGATGGAGCTCGTCATCGGCCCCGCGAAGCACCAGCCATTCGACGACGACGGCACCATCCCATCCGACCACCTCCACAACTTCGAGCACGCGTCCATCTCGCTGGCGCTGCTCATCTTCGCCGCGGTCACCATCCACATGGACCGGGTCCGGGCGCCCCTGCGTGACGCGGTGTCCCAGCTCGTCGCCGCCGCGGCGTTCGCGCAGCAGCTGCTCATCTTCCACCTCCACTCGGCGGACCACATGGGCGTGGAGGGGCAGTTCCACTGGCTGCTGCAGACGGTCATCGCCGTCACGCTCGCCACCACGCTGCTCGGGATCCCCTACCCGCGGAGCCTCGTGGTGAGCCTGGTCCGGTCGGCCAGCCTCGTGTTCCAGGGCATCTGGTTCGTCGTCATGGGCGTCATGCTGTGGACGCCGGCGCTCATACCCAAGGGCTGCTTCCTCAACTTCGAGGAAGGACACGACGTTGTCCGGTGCCGCACTGACGAGGCGCTCGACCGCGCCAAGTCGCTCGTCAACCTGCAGTTCAGCTGGTACCTCACCGGGACGGTGGTGTTCGTCGTCCTGTTCTACCTCCAGATGGCGAAGCTCTACCCCGAGGGGCCGCAGTATTTGCCGCTGGTGAAGGGAGGCAGCGGCGGCGGCGGTGACAGTGATAGCCGGTTCAGCATCGGAGATGATGATCGCGACGATGAGGACGATGTCGAGGCCGCAAAACGTGGCTTTGGACACGTGGTTAGCGGCACAAAGCCTGTCGAAATCGAGAGGTGAGGTCGTCGTAGCACCGTAAGGGTTTGGTTGTTGTTGTGTGATTACAGTACAGTGTAATTTGACTTCAACGTTTATTGGTGAAAAACATGCAAATATTGTTTAGGGAGGTTCTATTATTATTTATGGGGTGACTGAAAAACGTTTTACTGTTGACACTTTGTAACCCTTGTGGATCAAGAATCCAACAGCAGACCAACTTATTATTTGCAGCCGTTGGCAGTCACCACGCTAATTCGACAGTGTCAGGTTCGGACAATCCTTACCGTGGCCGAATTTATTTGTTTTTAGCCCTTTTTTGAAAATTTTTCACAAATATATCCCCGGAGGTAAGCTTTTAAAATCTAGACCTTAATTTAGTTCGGCGCCATCGTTGGTGGCGCCGAGCTTACATGTTTCGACGCCATAGATTTTTGCGCCTAGGTCTTAGGCTCGACGTAGACATGACAGTGACTTGGCAAACACCTTGGCGCCGTAGATCTCGGCGCCAAGCTTGGCGCCGTAGATCTTGGCGCCGAGCTTCACGCTGTGGTTATTGGCGCCGAGCCCTGTCTTACATAAGGCCCCCCTACTTTTCTCTCTTCCTCTCTCTCTCTACCGCTCCCGAGCCAGGGCGCCGCCAGCGCTGTCGCACCGCCGCGCCTAGCCCCGGCCGTCCGCGGCCCCAGCCCATGCCCGCGCCGGCCCCGCCGTGCCGGCTGCCCGCGCCGTCCGTACCGCGCCCGCCGCGCGCCGCCTCTCCCAACCCGTGCCGCCTCATCCCGGCTCGCCGCGTCCGCAGTGTGCATAGACACTCCCTCCGGTGAGCCTGGCCGCGACACGACCCCTGCTCCCAGCGCGCCGCGACCTCGCTGTCGATCCCGTCCTCCGCGTCCACGTCCTGCTCCGGTCCCGGCATTCACGTCGCATCGTTGCATTGACTTGGACAGGTAAAATTTTTGAATATGCAATGTGGGTACTTAGTTAGCTTGAATTGTAGTGCTACTTTGATTATTTGGTAGTTTCCAGTAAATTTGATGATGTAGGTAGTTGATTTAGTTAGTGAGATAGATATAGTTAGATAAATATAGTTAGATAGCTAGTGACACAGGTACATAGATATAGTTATTAGATAGCTAGTTGATTTAGTTAGTGAGATAAATATAATTAGATAGCTAGTGACATTGTTATTTAGGGTGTAGTTGGTTAGTATCTATTAGAGATGTACTATATAGCGGCTACTTTGGACTAAACGAACTGTATTTTAATTTTTGTTTGAACTACTAGATGGACAACCTAGCGAGCATATATCATGGAGGCACTGTGGAAAGAGATCGCTATGGATATGTTGAGTTTGTTGAGATACAAAGCGTGCCTGTGTTATTCAATGAGAAGTCTTCATTTAGTGAGTTGGTTGCAAGGCTCGGGAGGAGCTATATTACCATGGAGCTGATGATGATGATGGCATCGCAGTGGAGGGTGTACTTCACCTAGTTTCCTCTCCCAACCGGGTGTGCAGATCAGCGGGATAACTATGTGAGATCGGCTATGAAGTGCCAGTTCCAAAGTTTGTACGTGGTTGTGCGTTGGATGTTAGTTGATCCCATCCCTCATGGGTTTTCCCCACCAATGGGTCAGCAGACACACTTTGACCCTCCCATCCCGGAACCTGATATGGATGTGGAGGTTGCACCTACGGTTCCCGATGCTAAATCTGCCCCCAATGAGATAGTTGGAGATGCTTGTCAGACTCATGATGTTGTGGCAGATCCTCCTCATGAGATCCCTTTAACATAGAATCATCCAATTAAGTGTATTATCCGCATGATTATTGGCAGATCCCCCTCATGAGATCCCTTTGACATGGAATCATTTTTCTACTTATGTTGCAGGATACATTCCTGACAATGTGGATGTGCCCACCGTTGTTGCGCAAGTGAACTGTGGAGATGGAATCCATGGCTCCAATAGTGTTGAAATTATGAATGATTCGGAGCCATATGAGATGGCAAGGGCTCTTGATTCTGATGATGATCGTCCTGTTGGAGAGCTGACAGAGAGTGATGTTAAGATGCTGAGGCATATCTTTCCAGGCTGCTGTGATCCAAGAGTTTACGAGTTCAGCGATCTTGCTCATTCCGATCAGGCGTGTGCAGAAGGACGTGATGATCTTGCTCATTCCGATCAGGCGTGTGCAGAAGGACGTGATGATGAGCTCCTAGAAGCTCCTGAGGCCGGCCCTAACATGGTAATTGAGAAGGGTAGGGTATTCAAGGACCTCCCTGCATTGAAGAGGTGGTTGCAGGTGTTTGCAGTGATACGAAAGAGACCTTACAAGGTCTTGCATTCATATGCAGAGCGCTATTACACAGTTGTGTGTGACAAGGAACTCTGCCCATGGAGGGTTTGTGCAAGGAAGTAAAAGGTCACCGAAAAGTGGAAGATCACAAAAGTTGTCGGACCACACAATTGTGCTGACCATGTGCTGACACTGAAGCATCGGCAGTTGACATCTACCCTCATTGCCAAGCGGTTGATGGGAATATTATAGGGAGAACCCAACATGAAGGTTAGGACAATTATCAGGACCGTTGAGGTGTTGTATGGAGATTATGTGATAACTTATGGTAAAGCTTGGAGGGCTAAGCAGCGAGCGTGGAAGATGATATATGGGGACTGAGAGGATGGGTATGAGCAGCTACTAGTACTTTTCAATGCAATCAAAGCGGTGAATCCAGACATGCATTATGAGTACATCCCAAAACCAAATACATAGAAGGATGGGAGGCAGATATTCTTTCGTGCTTTCTGGTGCTTCCCTCAGTGTGTCAGGGCCTTTTGGCACTGTCATCCCATCTTCTCCATTGATGGTACGTTCTTGATTGGCAAATACCAGAGCACACTTCTTATAGCCATATCCTGTGACGCGAACAACAAGTTGGTTCCTTTGGCATTTGCTTTGGTTGAAAAGGAGAACAATGACAGTTGGAGATGGTTCTTGAGGCTAGTCCAAATACATGTGGTTGGGCCTAGCAGAGAGGTTGGCGTCATATCTGATAGGCACTAGGGCATACTTAATGCCGTGCGAGAGCAGATAGAGGGGTATGCACCTTTGCACCATCGTTGGTGTACTCGGCACCTTGCCGAGAAACTACTCCGGAAGGATGGTGTGAAGGATAACTTTGATCTGTTCCAGGAGGCTGCTCGACAGCTTGATGACAAGTACTTTCAGAAAAAGTTGGAGCAGGTCAGAACCACATCGAATGCAAAAAGGTAGACAATGGCTTACATGTTTGATGAGGTATTTGGAGAAATAGACAAGAGCTCACGACGCCGGTGGATGGAGGTACGAGTTTCAGTGCAGCAACATGATGGAGTCATTCAATAAGTTGCTATTGGGGATACATGGTATGCTCGTGAATGCAATCGTTCAATTCACCTTCTACAAGCTTGTTGCCTGGTTCAACGATAGACACGCCCATGCATTGAAGTTGTGGAGTGATGAAGAGATATGGGCTCCAAAACCAAAGGCACACCTAGAGAAGGCAAATGAAAGGGCTGGCACACATGAGGCTACATGTTTTAACCACACCACAGGGACTTATCAGGTTGAGCATAGGGGCAGTACAACGTCCGACGGTGAGGTCCAAGAGTCGAGGATGCATGTGGTAATCCTCCAAGATTTCACATGCACTTATGGTAAACCAAGGCAGTACCACTTTCTATGTTCTCATTTGATGGCAACAGCTAGGCATCGCAACTTTAATATCGAGAGTAGGATACCTCATGAGTTCAATGTCGACACGCTTGTGCACACATGGAGCCCTCGCTTCGTGCCTTTCCGGGACCCTAGAGAGTGGCCTCCACATGATGGGCCAAAGTACATTGCGGATCCAGCTTACCGTTGGAACAAGCGTGGATCAAGGAAGAGGACAAGACACAGGATGGTTATGGATCAGATACCCAGAAGAACGAGGCGTGGGAGAGGAACCCCATTTCTTACTAACCCCGAGCAGTACGAGTGTGGCAAGTACGGTAGACTGGGCCACATTTCACGCAATTATCGTTGGCAGATTAGTGAGGTGCGACTATTGGTTGTTTTCATTATTTCATATTTGTCATATTCATTCAATTAATTATGCATGTCTCAATTTATGCTTGTAATTGTGTTAATTACTTGTACATTTCTAAGTTTATGTTTCATTGTATATTGAATTTCTATTTCATTGACTTTTTTTGTAGGATGGCACAATTCCACCTGCTCGACCTGGCATATGAGGAGACCCACCGAGGACATCTCATAGCGGAGGGGCAGGTCATAATCTATACGTCTTGTTCAAATTTTTGTGAGCGTACATGTGTTCATGAAGTAACGGGAGACTATATTTTATTCCATGCAGGACCTTCCGCTCCTTCATCCTAGAGCCCACAATGGGTTCTTGGACATGCAGTACGATAATAGGTACACTCCTTTCCTGCAAAGAGCTGGCCTAGATGTCATCTCTTTTCAGGTTCGTTATGGGTTGCCCAAGTTCAACTCAGCGCCATAACTGCGTTGGTTGATAGGTATTATCTTCAATCATTGCCTCCATTCATGGCCATTTGTTCATGTGCTTGCCTTTTTGACATGTAATCTTGCTTTGTCTAAAATGTAGGTTGCTGTCGGAGACTCACAACTTTCACTTGCCTTTCAGAGAGATGACAGTCACGCTCCAGGACTGTCAGAAGATGCTAGGTTTAAGGATTCACTCCAACGCAGTGACTGGGCAGTGAAGGTCAGAAGGTTGGAGAGCACGAGTAGAGGCCTTCCTTGGGTGTGAGGTTGGCGAGCAAGGGGCTCGTAGTTCTGGAGTTCTAATCTCCTGGCTCCGATAAGAGCTCGCACAGTGCCCCGAGGAGGCAGATGAGGAGACAGTTGGGTACTACTGTAGGGCGTGGATCCTACACCTGTTTGCTTGCATTCTCTTCCCCGATGCCACGGGTGACACTACGTTGTGGATGTGGGTCCACTGCCTCACTGACTA